TGTGGCCCGTTCGGCCTACACCCGGAGACGTGTCGATGAGAGTGGCCCGTTTGGCCTACGTCCGGAGACGTGTCGATGAGAGTAGCCCGTTCGGCCTACGTCCGTAGACGTGTCAATGAGAGTGGCCCGTTCGGCCTACGCCCGGGGACGTGTCGATTGCATTTGTGAACACTCCATTAGAAAGAAAAGTTTGAACTTGTATTGATGTTTATTTGACTACATTGCTTTATTGAACAAAAGAGATGAGTTGCAGGGGTAACATCAAAAGTAACTTGTCTTCAATGGAGGCGAGGGAGGCTTGGCTGCCTGCTTGGAGCCGAGCTGATAGGCGAGGAGCTTCATGGATAGTACCTCCGGAGAAAAAGTCGCTTGCTTGATCTTTCTCTGCTGCTCCTCGGTGGTCAGCTCGGGCTCTTAGAGTCAGCTAGGATCGTACTGATCCGTATGACTTTTTTTTTTCATGGAGGCTCATTGGCAACTGCGTCACGATCCTCGATTTGCTGGATAGCTCCCCTTGCAATGAATTTCGTGCAATGGCCGTCTCCGACCAGCTCTTCGAGATGCTTTTTCCAAGCGAAGCAGTCCTTTGTGTAATGACCGTGCCTTTCATGGAATTCGCAGTATCTACTGGTATCCTTCTTAGTTGGGTTTCCCTTCAAAGGCGATGGTTTCTTCAACTAAGGCATGTTTTTTACTTAGGCCAGGATCTGGTGTATCGGGATAGTGAACTCGGTATAGCTCTCGACTGCAGGGGCACCTCCCTGAGGCTGTAATCTGTGCTTGCCTCCATCCTTGTCATTTATCCTGCCGTTCCTTTGGCTTGCCTGCTCAACCGGTTGATCGGCTTGCTTGGCAGCCTTCATTGCGGCGATCCGGTCATCGTCCCAAAGTGCGTAGCGCTCTGCTGTCGCGAAGACTTCTTCCAGTGTTTGGCAGGGAGAGATGGTCAGCTCGCGATACAGCTCACACTCAGTTGGCAAGCCTCTCTTGAAGGCAGATGACGCAATCCGGTCATCACATCCTACAATATTGGCCTTTTCTGCTTTGAATCTCTTGATGTAGTCTCGAAGGGATTCGTCGAACTTCTTGCGTAAGTTGAACAGGTGGTCGGGGTTCTTTTTTATTATCCGGTAAGACGTGTATTCTTTGGCGAAGACGTATGTCAGCTCCTTGAAGTTGCTGATTGACCCGGATGGTAGGGTATGGAACCAATCTTGAGCTGATCCTTGCAAGGTCATCACAAACACCTTGCACATCAACGTGTCGTCGGCCTTGTGGAGGATCATGACACTTTTGAAGTGTTTTAGGTGGCTCTCGGGATCGGAGTCTCCCTTGAAGAGCGTAAACGAAGGCGTCGAGAACCGCTTCGGGGGAGCCACCTGCTCAATTTCGACAGTGAAAGACGTGGAGTTTGCTTGGTCCATCTCCTTGAGTAGGGCGTCTTCAAAGTTCCCGCTGGCCTTCAAGTCTCAAAGTTGGTCATTTACAAGCTTCTTGACGTCTTCTGCACGCATTGCTGGTTGGACACGTTGGCGACCCTCGCAATTTGGGCGACGCTGACTGACCTTCTCATTGATTCGCAAGGTTCGAGCTTCTCGGCTGCGTTGCCTAGGCGGTGTGTTGGTGGACTGCGCTTGTGAGTGATCCTTCGTAGCTTGTCGACGAGATTCGGTTCTTCGAGAGTGAGCAGCGGAGCGCCTTTCCTCGCCATCCTCACCGTGAAGGTTGTCAGGTTGACCTCCCTAGGAGCCTAGCCTTTGAAGAACAGTCCTCTGCGGGCCCAGGCGGGCACGGACGTCAAGTCGTGGGCCCAGTCTTCCTCGTACGTTGCTTTGAGTGTGGCTTACGGATGCTTATGACATGTTGGTGAGCTGATCACGTTGTTGTCCCTCTCCTTGTCTGCTCATTCCTGCTCAACCTACTCGGCACCCGCCGATCTGCCTGTTGGCGCAGTCGTCCATCCTTCTCTCTTCGTCCAGTGGTCCAAGGCCAAGGTTTTGAGCTAAGTTTATATGGTTGAGGAGCTGGTCAACTTTCTGAGCTAGCTGGTCAACTCTCTGATTAAGGTTTGCTTGACTTCGTGGATCGGGAGGAGAGAAGTGTGTGGAGCCCAACTGCATATTGGCTAGGGTTTCATGGGAGGTGTACGCGGGAGCGTGCGTCGAGCGTGGAGGCAACGGAGGGAACGCTTGAAGTTGCTCTAAGATTAGGCCTAGGTCGGCGGTGGTAACGAGCCCACCTTGATGGGAGGTTCCCCCATGCTCGGCGATGGAGCCACGAGGGTGGTTAGATCCGGCTAATGGGCCTTGGGCGACTACGGTGGCCGGCGCGGTGGTCATGGCGGTGAGAGGTGGTGGCGCCACCATGTCGATCGCGGGATCATGGGTGGAGTGGCTTTGAGCCGTCTATGATTTTGCCATCGCGGCAGTTTTGCCCCTCGTCTTCATGCTTCCAACCATGGTTGTTTGGAAGGCTTCGGTGGATTGGAAAATAGGTTTAGAGCACGTTTTGAGTATATCTCGTGCTCTCAATGAAAGCACCAATTTGTGGGAGCAAATTTCCCCACGAGAATATTCGGTTGACAGATTCCTTCGTCTTCTTCGCCGCCTCTTTCTCCCTACAAAATAGAACAAATGAGATTACCACACCCGGGGGGTGTTGGCCAAAGGCCTTCCAATGCCTAAATTAGTTCAAGAGTTTTGTAAGAAAAATACTAGCTAACTAGGGTACGGAGATATATGTGTTTATGGTGTAAACTGGGCGGCCGAAGCCTTTTGTAAGAGAGGGGGAGAGAGGAGGCGGCTAGGGTTTGTGAGAAATAATTTCTGCAGAGATTTGGTAGTAATTTTAGACGTACCTCAACCTTTGTGTGTGGCCATCCTTTTATAGAGGTCTCGGGAGCTAGGGTTTCAGAGGAATAATTCCGTAGATGGAAGGGAATTATTCCTCCCCAATTTGGCGAGATTTGACTAATTAGGGATTTGATTTATTAGGAATATAAATCAAATCCCTAATTGTGGTAATCAGATCAATACCTAATTTAATTAGGTAACTCCTCCTTTAATTGAGAATATTCGTAGGAATCAAATCAATCCTCAACCTAATTAGGTAACATTCTATTTAATTGGGTAATCCCCAATTAAATTGAATAATTCCCAATTAGGTCAAATTATCAGCCAAGTATTTATAGGGGTCCTCAACAAGGTTGGTGAGGTTAGTGAGATTGGTGAGGTTGGTGTATTTAGGGATTTGATTTGTTAGGGATTTAAATCAAATCCCTAATTGTGGTAGGTATCCAATCTGATTAGGTAACTCCTCATTTAATTGGGAAATGTGATAGGAATCAAATCAGTTTTCAACTTAATTAGGTAATTCTCAATTTAATTGGATAACCCCTAATTAAATTGAGTAACTCCCAATTAGGTTGAGTAATTCCCAATTAGGTCAAATTATCTCCAAATGGAAGGAATTATTTGACCTAGGGTTATGAATTAATTCGGTTCCCACAACTGTCATTCTTGCTTGAAAACTTGGAAGAAACAGAGAAGAGAAGAGGGGACACTCTTATCTTTTCTTAAGCATCAAATTTTGAAGTTCAAATAACTCCTTAGTTTCCATGTCTGACGTCGTATCTAAGTTGACCACTGAAACCATTTCATTGCCATTACCTACAAGGCCAGCATTCTTCACAAGAAGAAATGTTATTGAGTCTGATATAAGCAGAAGGGAGTTAGAAACTGTGTCAATAAAACTAGTATGCAAATGTTACCTAAAGGGAAAGGTTTCAACTTTTTTCTTGTATGGTCAGTGCAAGTAGTTAATAATAATTACAAGTTTAAACTATGCATAAAACAAAGCAACATTAAATTATAGGGAGCCACTAGGAGTCCTTTCTCTCTCTTCAGATTTAGAATCTCTTAAAGGTCTCCCTATTTTAGGAGGTGGTTGGAGTTGTATTTTCCAATTCCTCCCTAAAATTTGTCTAAGGAGGTGGTTTAAGGAGTCAATTGATGATTATAGACCTACAAAGTTGAATGGATAATGGGTTACTAGGCTACATTTGGGTGGACTACTAAGATTTTGTGGATTGAATCATATTAAAATACATATAGTATATTTAATTTTTTTTTTAAAGGCTACATGGGGACTTAGCCGTGTGAGGAGAGAGGGAGAGAGGGGCGGCGAGAGAGAGAGAGAGTGAGAGGTGTCTCTCTCGGGTTTTTTAGCTAGGTTTAGAATTACCTTGAATGCTTAGTGTAACCATGTATTTATAGACTCCTTGTGTGCTGGTTTTGCAAAGAATACTTATCTATTTGGAAGGAAAATATTATCTCTTAATTAGGTCTAAATAATCCCCCAAACAAATGGGCCTGATTATTGACCTATGATATATTTTTTTTTGTTCATGTGGCGCCTTGCGATTGGAGCACTAAGATATTTGCTCCCACACTTATCCATGTTGGTCTGCTATGCGTGGAAGAAAATGCAGCTTATCGGCCCTACCATGTTAGATGTTATATCAATGTTGTTGACAAATTAAAGCATGGCATTAACCAACACCAAATTGTCCAATCATGCTCACATCACTTATAATTTCCTTTGTTCCAAATCTTGCAATTGTTCCCAATTTGTTCACCAAATCTACGAATATCAATTGCAATTAGATTGACTATCCATTTGCATAATCTTAAGATTGTTTGATTAAAAAAAATCAGACACTTTCATATTATAATCAATCCATGAATTAATTGGATAACCGATTCATATTGGAGAAGAGATGGAGGAGATGGAATATGAAGCTGTCCTTTCTTTTTTGGGTGGTGGGAGTACGATGCGTCACATGAATAGGTTATTTTTTAATTTTATCATTATGATGGATAGGAACTAATGTGTTAGTGCATCCAAACAGTATTCTAATATCATGAAGGGTATTTAAGTATTTATCATGAGGGGAAGTTTGTGTAATTCAAAGAACCTCAGGAGGTGAAAACACGAAAAATTTCAGGAGATATTAGTATAAATAATTCTAAAAATTTGTGACGACCTAGGGTCAGCGGGGCATGTGTCTCTAGGTCCAAAGGTGACTCCCAACATTATTTGGTACCTCGACGAAAAAACAAAAATCATTTGCCATTTGGTACCCAAAAAAAAAAAAAGGCTGTATAGGTTGAAAAAAGGTTCATACAAACACACTTCGGCAAGCTGTTCTTTCTCTCCTCCATATTTATTTATTTTAAATTGGCAATGTGTAAAGATTCACCATGTCTTTCCAAACACGGGAAGAGATGAAAGAGAGGTTTTTTTTCCTCTACTAGTTTTGTTGACCAGAAAAAGAAAAGTTTTTCTTTCTAATTCTCTAATATAATACACAATATGATAATATTGCTAAAATATGAATACGGGTTTTCAATATGTTCAGATTTTTTATTCTTCTCCATAAGGAGGTATATATATGAGTTTACAGAGTGCTTTACAAAGAATCAGATTCAATCAGGAATTAGGAAAGTATATCATAATTATACACAGATTTGTCAACTAGATGGAATGGGAAAGTAAATCCCTTAATTTATCAAGGAAATAAATCTCCTTAATTAATTAGGAGACTCACGTCAACACTCCTCCTCAAGTTGGTGCATATACGTCACCAATGCCCAACTTGGTAAGTGAGTCATAAAACACTCTGCTACAAACAGCTTTGGTTAAGATATCAGCTAA